AGGTTTATTAACCTGAAACACTCTGGTGAATGCGGGTCCGCAGTAAGGCAGCTTCATCCTTACGCGTAGCGGTTCCTGGGTGACTTGCTTTAGCTGCGACACGTTTCCTTTCGGTGGTGGTTTGTGAATGGGAGACGTGGCGGCGGCTGGGGGTGACTCTGAATTGCTTCGCTGTTTCTGTAGGTGATTTAATGTTTGGTTTATGTTTTGGTTCTGATTCAAAATCTGAGCATCCGTGTGCAGCAGGGCAGGCCGCCAGGGAACTTCTTGAAGGACAAAACAATTCCGTGGATACTTACTGTAAGGGATTTCAGATGTAATTGCAGCTTTGTTTACAAGGTGGTGGTAGCTTCGGGCACCTGGAAATCCTGCCTGAAGTAAGGCAACAGCAAAAGGAGTCTGGGTTTGAGAGGTGTGCCTCACCTGGGCCGCGAGCTTGCAGGGGAAGGGTCCTGCCACTGCCGACACAAACCCGCCCTCACTTCTCTGCCGAGGGCCGGAGCCGGGGCCGGGGACCTGTGCTGTGCTCGTGCCCAGAGAGCGGGAGGAAGCAGCCTTCCTTACCGGGTCAAGACGAGGCACCGTAAGAGCCCTTTGAAAATACTCTGTAAATGTTCCCTGGAGTTTTACAGGGACCGAATATTCCCCCAAACAACAATCCTCACAAGACTAGCCCTAAACACATCAGACCTGTGCCGGCACTCGCTGTGCCGGCTGGACCTGGCACGTTCTCGCCAGTAACTGGCGTGTAGCAAAATGGGTACAAGATCCACAGCGGCGAGTTTAGCTGCAGGTAGAATAAACTTGTGTCTGTAGCATGCGTGCTACGCTCAATCCAAACAGGCAGGCACAGAAAGGAGATAGTCATCACCTCGGAAGGGGCAAAATGATTGTTCCTGTTACTGCTGCCGCCTGGACGTGTGGTGTGTTGGTCTTGTTACTCGTTCCCTGTCCAGGCAGCGAGGGGAAAGGTATTAACAGCCTCAGACTCCGTTCTGCCGGTAAGAAGGGAATTTGTGCAGCTCTCGCTATCAAAAATGCTCTCTTCCCGTAACAAGAACGGTCCTGTTGCACCAGCAGCCTCTTCCTGTAGTTTGCAATTTGTTCTTTAGGGCAGGGAGCTCCGTTCTTGACGACGACGGGAACGCAAAGGTAAGTGGCACTTTTAACCTGCTGAGGCCAAGCCACAAGCGCGAGTCCCTTTATCGCAACTCCAGCACTGGGATAGGCGCGCGGAAAGGACCGGTGCTGCCGGAGAGGAGAAGCAGCAGCATATCCCGGGAGAGCGGGCAGGCTCCAGATTTACTGTTCCCATCCCAGTATGTCCTCTTGCACCCTGACGGGGAACACAGGATCCTCGTGGGCCTTTCAGCAGCACTGACGTCATCGTTTGGAATTAACCCCCTGCTAATTTATACTTTTGAACGTTGATCATAGAGATCTGCAGAGGTTTTGAAAAGCAGGTTCGGTCACGGTTTTTAATGTGTCATCCAGCTTACGGGCAAGAAACTATGTGCATAGGCTCAAAGCTGGGGGGGGGAAACGTGAGGTATGGTTGTGGTGGTAGAAGGCTACAGCACGTTAACTACTGTGTGCAGAATTTTTCTGCTAGCATTTCCACTGCGTGCAGCTGGTGAAGGTGCTTGAGGTGGGGCAAAGGGATGGGGGGAAAAGCAGAACCAGACACGCACCCCAGCTTCCTGCAGGGACCTTTGTGGGCTTTTGGCTGGACTCTTCAAGGAGCACACCGAGAACACGCAGACCAAACTTACATTTTATTTAATGAAAACTACAAAAGACAAGTCGCCTCCTTCAAAAAGTCAGGCAGCCAAGTCACAGCTTGTGATAGAAAAGGAAGGTGCTACACTGGGGGGGAGGGAAGAGCCCTACCACGAAATTAAAACCTTCCCTGTGGTACGTAGGCAGGATGAATAAATAACATACCCCAAGGATGCCGCTGCCTGGCCCCCGGCTGTGTGGGCACCTCGTAAACCTCGTCTGGTCTAAAACCGGGCGCCGAGTCCTGCTCCTGCGGCATCCCCTGGCCAGGGCAGAGGCTCCCCCCTGCAGCACAGCATTCACAGTTTGCGGTAGCTTTGACTTGCCTCGTGGGACCTCCTTCGGTTTCACCTCTGGTTCAAGTCACGTCTGCTCACACGTGTCATTTGCACCAAGTCTCTGATACTAAAGGTTTCTTTCTGGAACACTTAGGCGCTGCTTTCTTTGCAGGTTTAAAAAGAAAGGCATGGCTTTCTCCCTGCACGCATACAAAGCTCGCTCTGTTCTCAGTGCCAGTTCTGGCAAATGTAATACTTTAGAGAGCGTTATCTGTTAACAGAGCTGCTCAGGACCTCAGTCCTGCACAGCTCGGCATTCAGGAATTCCTCTCCTACACGGTAAGATGATGAGCAAGGGAAGGAAGGCCAGAAACTTTCTTCCTGCACTGATGAGTGCTGCTGTTATGCAGCGTGAGGGTCTCCTTGCTCCTGTCTCATCCCTGTCCCCTATTTATTTATCCTGTGTCATTACGTGAGACACCTGCTCGGCATTTAGCCTGCGCAGGGCCATACAACCCTCTCCTTTCTTCCTGCACTGATGAGTGCTGCTGTTATGCAGCGTGAGGGTCTCCTTGCTCCTGTCTCATCCCTGTCCCCTATTTATTTATCCTGTGTCATTACGTGAGACATCCTGCCTGCGCAGGTCCATACGAAACCCTCTCCTGTTCTGTGACGGGACTCGCAGGTGTGGTGGCATTATTCATCCACTGCTGTCTGGATTATACCTTCAAACTAGGATAACAGTCACCTGAAAATGCTGGCCCTATTGTTTAAAATGAAACAACAAAAAAAAACACCTAAGAAAACACTTATTTTAAAAGAATGTGTAAGGCTGGTTTTGAAAAGTGCAATAGAGGTTTAAACTGAGCTTTGTAGTTTGTAGAACTGCTTTGCTATGGAGATTAGCAGTTAATAAAAACTAACGTGGTGGTGGGGAATTAATTAAAGGCATTTTCTATTGTCCAGTCTGGTAAAACAGAATAAATTAAAAAAAAAACCCTGAAAGGCATGTGCTGGTTGGTGAGGGCCAAAGGCAACAGTGATTGTGGACAAGAAGCGATTTCCCACAGCTCGTAGGAACTGGGACTGGGCCTTTAACGGCTTCACCGGGAAGGAGCACAGACCTCAGACCCCTGGATTCCAGGGTGAGGCCTTAAGAAAAACCGGAAGGTTTGGTTCTGTCTTCTCACGACTCAATCAAGACCTCGGTTCCACCTGAGGACTACTCTTACAGAGCCAGCAGTGGGAGCTCCCCCTTCCTCGAAAGCAGCTCCTTGTTCCCTCTCCCATGGGGCGAGTCAGATTAGCTCTAATAAGAGAGCAATGGAGCGAGCTGGATGAAAGGCTCAATCTGCCACACCTCATCACAGCTATTGTGAAAAAATAATCTCTGAGACATTTGGTTCTCTCTGGCGCAGTTCGTAGCCTTCTGCCAACTTCATCCCTGAGTTGTAGGATTGTGACCAAGTCCCTCCTCTCCCCAGCTTTCTGTATTTACATGATGTTAAAAACTGAGGGGTAGCACCCACTGCTTAGGAAGGACGTAAAAAATAGAAAGATAATACCAATTTGTCATTATCCTCTGAAAAACACAGCAGCGCTTTTGCTCTGTAGTTACGGCTGGTCTGTCCGCTGGGACCTACTGGTTCTGCAGCTGCTGCTTCCAAGGCAGTAATTCTCCACTAGTCCCTTTCGGGCGGCTGTAAGGGAGGACATGGGGAGCTGCCTTCTCCAGGCCTCAGCTGAGGGCACGAGCCACCCGTGTTCACCCTCCCACCACTCGCTCCCCCGTCCTCACTGTACAGGTGTCCGAAGCCATCGTAGTATTCATCAGTCTCCATGGTGTCATCAGGAATTTGGACTGTAGTAGGCGTGAAAGGTGCTAAAACTGGCTGGGGTACAGGGACCCTCAACCTCACTTGATGGGAATTCTTCAATCCAGAAGGGTCGTGGTGGGGTAGCCTTGCCTTGGGATGGCCCTGGATGGCTTGACTGATGGAACAGAAAATATAAACGGCATTGGATGGCTGCAGGCACATTAGCTCTTGATCCACAAGCTCCTTGCAGTGGATGAATTCCGTGCTGTTAACCTGTAAGGAAAGATGCAGATTTTTTGTAAGTTCACGATAAATTACTCTCTCTTCTGGCCACTGCTCCTGTAACTCTGTCATTAGGGGGAGGGCAGGGACGGGCTGTATTGGATGCCTCGATAGATGCGTATCGGCAATATGCATGTTGGCCCTGATGCAAAACACTTGACCAGGAGCTCCTGAACTACTACACAAAGGTGGGCGAGCGCTCCCTCTTCTTAGGAGGCGACGACAGTCAGGAGGGACAGCAGGAGGCTAGGTTATTTCAGACAAATTTGAGACCACAAAATGGGTCGACGGTAAGCTGACAGCCTGGGTCTTTAGCCTTCTAGGTATACTCTCTGAAAAGGCACGTGTTTTGTGAAACTGGAGAAAAGCTTTAAAAAAACCGCAAACATAACAGAGCTTGCCTTTAATGCGTATCATTAGAAGCCAAACTGATTATATTTTACAAGCAATGTAAGTGTACTTAGAAGTTCGTGCAGTCTTCAGTGGGAGGCTGGGGACACAGTGGGCAGGTTTTCAGATGCTCTCAGACACTCCCGTTGTGGGAGAATCTCCCCTTGCTCAGCAGGCAGGGAGCTATCCGTGGCCAAGCAATTTGGAAACCTCCCTTCCCTGCCAAAGGGAAGGCCCTCTCCCCAGTCCCACCCCTTAACTGCAGTTTTATTCCCTCTCTTGTTAGCTCTAGCAAGGTCTGCAGCAAAGGCAGAACATGGACACACGCTTCTCGGAAGGCTGCTAAAGTGCAATGTTGGTTGTAAATACACGTGCGCTTTATTAATTTATCGGTGTCCTGGCCTCAAGATTTGTGACCAAAGGCCATTTTGATTCCTACCTGTGCTTTTTTTAGCAGATCAGTAATAACAGCAAACCAATCAGGAGTCAGCCTCTCCAGCTCTAAGGTGATGATCACCAAAGCCAATGTGGAGCCCTTAAACTGCAATAGTTGGTGGCACGCCATACAGTGCTGTAGCTGTTTGGTCAAGAACGCAACATGGCGGGAAGGATTCATCTGAGGCAGCCCATGTAGTAGATGGGGCCAGTTGGACATCACCATGGCATGGAACTGGAGAGAAGTATATATATATATATATATATATATAAAAAACAAAATACGTGTTGAGTAGTCATTTTGTTACAACCCCCTTTTTTTTTTTTTTTTTTTTTTTTTTTTTTTTTTTTTTTTCCCCTTTTTTTTGTGTTTTGTGTTTGTACTTGCCAACCACTGAACTGTTTTTTCGAGCTTATAATGAATGTACAAGGTCAGTGTTTCCTAACAATTTCTGAAGTTTCTACGTTATCCAGATTGCTATCCAGGAGAGTCAATTCAGGCCAGCAGATACGGATAGAATAAAACCGATAATAATGACTGCGCACTGAATTTACTGAGGAAACAAGCACCTAAGAAAGGCAGTTTTCACAATCAGCAGCCTAAGATGGCTTAATATTTGCACATAACCTTAAAAAAGGGATCCAGGATGTGTTCGTATCACATGATTTTTGCCTTACTAGCACATGATCGTTTCTTGAAGACAAAGTTTAATCGTTTCTATCAAATGTTTAGTAACTGCAGTGTGAACTAAGTGCCAGATTGGAGTAGTCTCATTGCCTAAAACAAGGGTGAATAATTAGTGGGATGAAAAGGAAAATGGTTTAAGAAAAAAACCGTGTGTGTGAAATGTAGCAAAACTCTGACAGCTTTCTATGTACAGTATTAATAGAACGGAAATAGTTAGAAATATTTTTGCAGTGTGTATTTAAAAAAAATAAAATGGCGTATAGTTGTGCATTATGAGAATCTTTTTAACGTCCATTTTAGTTGTCCTTTAAAGATGGCAGTAAATTTTTTGAGCAAAATGAAAGGTTTTAAATAGTAGAAAATTTTAAAAATAAATAAATTAAAAAATCACTGTAACATTCTTCAAAAGACTTGCAGATAGCTGAGAACAGTTAGCAAAGCATCTTGGGAAGGATGTGTGGGTGTGTGTATGTGTGCGCATCTGTGTTTTCTAGTCTTATTTGATAAGGAGCTGTTTCTTTAAAGAAAAAAAAAATTTGCAAAATTTAGTGCTTACAATGTTTAAGAAATCCATTGGTGTTGCTGTGTAAAGATCCCAATGAAGCTTGTCTAGTATAATTCTTTCCATTCTCAAGATCTCAGCTGGAGAGCGTTTACAACCACTCTGCACTGCGAGCATCTTCACCGATGGTATTACCTGTAAAAAAAAAAAAAAAAAAATTAAAAATAATAAAGAAGCCACCGTCCTACACAGTGCTGTGCGTGTTTCTCTGTATTGCAAAGGGATCTGACAAGTTTATACACATCCCGAAGCGCTAAGCAGAGTGCTCGTTCAGGAGACCGCTTTCCTAGGTGACTCCCATCCTAAACGAAGACTGGCCCACGCTCGCCAGAGTGCAGCTGGCTACGAACCCACAGCAAGAACGATGCCGTTCACCTCCTGGGTCACCGTGAGCCTCCTTAACGCTGCATCGGCGATGCACGTTCCCTGCCACCAGTCTCATTAGTTTTGCTCCTCTGACAAGGAGGAGGCTTCCTGTTGGCCTGTTTTACAGGGCCTTCTGTGGGTGTCTTGTTTTCTGCGGTCGTTGACTCAGCTTCTCCTTTTTAGCGGAGAGGAAAAGAAGAATAACCTCAGCGTGGCACATCCTCAGAAAGGCTATGAAGAGCGTTTCACTACAGCAGAGGTTGTTCGAAGAGACATGTGTGTCTGACTCCCAACTCCTAGGTTTCCTGCTCTTTTTCAAAACAGAATGAAGGGAAGAGGAGAAATGCAATCTGAAATGCTTTTGGCTCATGTTTGTAAATGTCTTCTGCCATGAGAGGTTATCCTGTGTCATCTCACACTTACATGGGTAGTTGCTGATTTTACGTGCTCACCTTGAGGTGCAGATCTGAGTCACTTCCTCACCAGGTTCAGAACCCACTTTCGACTCCAAGCAAACTCATCTATTTTAAGCTTCCTCTGAAGAACCTCTGCTCTGTCTCGCCTACCTTACCCTCCCAGGACCTACTACAGCACCCTGATGCTGTGCGCACAACGCTGTGCGTGTGCATCTTGACTGTCCCCTCCCCCAGACTAAGCTTTACTGCGAGCCGTGGATTCTGAAGAGAGGAGAGAGGTTTAAGGGCAGGAGGAGGAAAACACATCCATTACGTAAGCAAACACAAGTCCTTCATCCATAAAGGTCACAATTCTTTCAAGCAACGATGAAACAGGACTGAAAATGTTACTGTCTCCCCTTAAGGACTACTTAGGGTAAACAAGTTAACACCTCCACATTATGCCCAAGTTGTTGAAAGACCTGGAAACACGAACAACTTGAACGCAAAAGATGAGTTTAGTGTGTTTAAAATTAAACATACAGACCTCATCTTCTTCATTGGTTTTTGCTGCGAGGACAAGGCAGGAAATTGCTATGCACTGAAGATATTTTAATTGGGCCTGAAGGGAGAAGAAAACACTGAGTAAAGAAGATAACAGTCTTGGGGGGAATAACTGTCATTCTATGACAGATGCACAAGTTTCAAACTTTCATTCAAGTTACAGTTGCTTCTGAACTAGTTTAGCTGCAGAAAGATTCATTTGAAGCTGGAAATAGAGCAAGGAAATCCAAAGTGAAACAAAGTAAATCCTCTTCCTGGTGCACTTTTTATTCATGTATCCCACAATTTTTAGACTATGCAATGCCACAGTATTTACAATGCAATGTTACGCCTCTTCTCAGCTGAGATATTAATTAATATGCTTTTGCTAAATGTCAGTATCAATCTAAATAGAATTGAGAGCTGCAAGGCTCAGTTCAACTCATAACTTTGCCGTTGCTTCAATAGCAGAAAAGGTTGGCCCCGCGGTTTGGTTAAAAATAGTGGTTCAAAATGAAAATATTGAAAGTGATAATGCAAATGTTTTCTATTTAGCAGAGACAACCAGATGATAATGAGTTCTTTGTACTTATCACAGCATTTGGACTACAGTTGACACAAACACTTCTACGGAGGACTGTAAATCAGTGGAACCTCATCGAACACTCGAGTTCATATATATACATATATATATATTTATATGCTTAAAAGCCTTCCCCAGCGAAGACCTGATAATGCAAATGTTTTCTATTTAGCAGAGACAACCAGATGATAATGAGTTCTTTGTACTTATCACAGCATTTGGACTACAGTTGACACAAACACTTCTACGGAGGACTGTAAATCAGTGGAACCTCATCGAACACTCGAGTTCATATATATACATATATATATATTTATATGCTTAAAAGCCTTCCCCAGCGAAGACCCTGGCTGCTCCCTAAATTGCTGCCAAACATAGTACCTGCTTTGTGTATAAGATTACATACTACCCCTTACATCCCCAGTCAGTAATCTAGCCAGAAAAAAAGCTGACAGAGATTCTCTACCTTTACTGATGCCAATAACCGGTTAAGAATGCTGGTAGCTAAGGCAAATGTTTCAGGGTAAAACTGGAACCGAGAGCTTACTTCATATATATATATTTATATGCTTAAAAGCCTTCCCCAGCGAAGACCCTGGCTGCTCCCTAAATCTGCTGCCAAACATAGTACCTGCTTTGTGTATAAACTGATTACATACCCCTTACATCCCCAGTCAGTAATCTAGCCAGAAAAAAAGCTGACAGAGATTCTCTACCTTTACTGATGCCAATAACCGGTTAAGAATGCTGGTAGCTAAGGCAAATGTTTCAGGGTAAAACTGGAACCGAGAGCTTACTTCTGCAATCCAGAGAACCGCTTTCTTGTAACACGACAGAGAGATATCTGTGCCCTGAGGGGAAGAAAAAATTAGCAGAAAAATACAGTTAGTGCTTTGATGATTTTGTTAACGTATCTCCAAAGGAAGACTCAAATCATTCCAAGTGCTCTAATTAACATTTCAGATGTCTGGAGGCTTGAAATGAAGAAAGTTCTGGGCTGTGTCTACAGAGTGAGGCAAATTTCGGAGCAGTTTAAAGCACTCATTCGCATTGCCCACCCAGTCAGGCTCTAGCTGTGCTTACAAGGGCCTGGTACTGGATTGTGCCCGAGTACTGAATGGGGAAGCACCCAGCCCGTCCCTCGCACGGTGGGTATGAACCACCCAACTGAGCTCTCACAAACGAGGTGCTGAGCGTGCTCATTATTTCCCCCCTCCTGAGAAAACTGAAGCCTCCGATGCGGCACATGGTTCATTCAGCCAGCCTCGACAGGGAGAGAGAAACGGGAGTCAGGAGCAGGTTTTGATTGACTCTGCAAGATTCCTCTTTTTTAACAGCCCTTGAACTTGCTTCGCGTTGGGACCACAGAAGCCGGGTTTATGACTCCCCCAAGGCACAAGGCAAAACGTACTCAGTTTTTTTCTTTCTTATATCTTATTTGAAGATGCATTCAGGTGAGAGGAAGGACGTTACTCTGGCTGCCATGAGTGCCCCACATGATCTGTGGCACGTATTTGAACACTGCTGTAGAACTGAAAGGGCCACGCGGCTACACAGAACAGACAACATTTACTACCAATTCATTTAATATTACTCATCACATTATCCATTTCACTATCTTGCTTTATTTGGTAGTAAAAATACTTGGTAAAAAAATAGCATTTCTACGCTATTGCAAAAGAGAGGAGGCTGGCAGGGCACTTCTGTGCATTCTTCCACGATCTGATGCACTTTACAGAAGCAGCTGAGCGTAACTGTTTCCATTGTGCACAGAGGGCCATTAAGTGTTCCAGCTTCCTAAGGTAGCAGACTGACTCGCTTTAGCAGCCGGGAATGGGGCTGGGTTTCTGTCAGGCCTCAGCGAATTCCCTTTTCTCCCATCTGAATAGATGGGACTCAAAGACCGTGTCGAGCACAATTAACTCTAACATGACATACTTACGGCTTTACCATCGATTGTCTGCTCTTACCGGCTCCACCAGATTTCCCAAAACTACTTGAGTCAAAACAAAATGCGAAGCACCTGGTTTACATGGGGCACTAATAAGATGCAAGATGGAACAAATACAGACCCTCCTCCCCCCCGTTCCTTAAGCTTAGTCCATGCGGGATGACTTTTGCATTCAGGTGGATTAGATGGCAGGACCAGCACTGCATCTCTGCAGAGTCCCTTAGGCACTTCCAAAGAGGACGAGGGAAAATACCTTCAGGGCGAGATTCTGGAAAACTGGCACTTTCCAAATCCTAGCCTCTCTGGCTAAGGCATTTTCCAGGAAGAAGGCAAGTCTCGAGCCCTCTGGGGGTCCAGGGCACTTCATGGCAAGTCTTTGAGCCAGTTTCCCTGATGGGAGCCGCTGTCAAAACCAAGAAAAGAATTATAAAGCAACATCCCAGCTCCTTGAACTAACTATGATTTCCTCTCCTGATGCCTTTCCAACTCCGAGAACTAAGTCGGGAGCAGCCATATGACTTGTTTGTTTGCAGACAGAGCAATCCTGCCATCCATTTTCCCAGGGGGAAGCTCACGATGAAAGAAAACATATCAGATGGCTAAACAATGGTGCGGTCGAGCTTTTTTTCCTCCCGGGCTGTGTGAAGGCTTGCTTGAATAACCTTGGGTGAGCGGTACCTATTGCTCTGTTTACCTTGTTTCACACGTTCAGCTCTCCATTTGCAGAGCCATTAAGTTGCAACCCGTTATCATCTGATTTCAAGTTTCTGGCAAATAGAGGTCTATTGTCTCTGTACAGAAGCTCGAAGATGACTGTTCTTAGCGGGTTTATTAATTCCCAGTTAACAGTTTTCCTTAAAGCCGTATAATCTTTCTCTCTTGCTGCTGAAGACATGCAACAGCAACACTTTGGAAATTCCACTCTCCAGACTAAGCACGTATTTACATCAAATAAACGTTTCTGTATAATATCACGTAAGAACCAAGCAGTGAGAACGTCTCAGCCTGAAAATGAGTATTTCAATGCTTACATTGTGGTGTCTCTTTAACAGCAGAAAAAAGATGTTACCAGATAGAAAATTTCTGCTTTTCTTTGTAAGTAGTGGTGGATGCGGGCTTCCTCATCAGTGTTTTCTGGAAGCTCACACCATTCTCTCTACAGCTCCATTAAAAACCCCAAAGTGACATGAATCCTCTGGAAACCGTTCTACATTTCTAAAGCTGAAACTCGGTGATGTGTGTGTTTCACCGGGCACGGGAACCGCACATGACTTCGGCTTTTGCTACCCCTGGATGCCAGAGCATCCAAAGCCGACTGCCCGGACCATTTCAGCAGAAGGAGAGCCGGAAAAGATTTATCTGTCCAGTTTGATGCACTGAAAAGATTACCTTTCCGTAGCTAGGGAAAAAATAGAATTAATTAAAAGCTCACCCTCCGGCTAACCTGAACGCGACTGTCCCCGAGAACGACACCGAGCGGTTCCCGCACCACCGGCGCCCGGGCTGTCCCTCCAGTCCCGCACAGCGCCCGGGGGCGGCGGGGAGCGCCGTCGCGACACCA